AGCCACATGTTGTCAAGGGTACAATGCCTACACTTGGTCAAGACAAAAGATAGACTTCATTGGAGTATGAAGTTCTAGTCTACCTCATCGAAGTCGAGTACTCTCAATCGAGAAAAAACTATGGAGATAAAGATAAAGATAGAGTTAAAGTTAGAATTAGAATATAATTTTAAAATAGAGTTTTATTCAAAATATATCTACTTAGATTTGATTAGATAAGTTAAGTATTTAGATAATGTTTTAGTTTATTAGAAGTTCTTTTAATTTTAGATTAGTTACTCTATAAATAGAGGGGTTATTTATTGTAATATTCACCCTTGAATGCATGAATAAATTGATATCTTCTTTTGTCCTCAATTTTTCTCTTCTTTGCACGCCTTTCTTTTTTTAATCTTCAATTGTTTGTTGTCAAACATTCGCTCATGTGTCGTATATGTAGAGAAATGGGGATTAGAAGGTATGAGAACTACTCTCCTAAGGCATTTCATAGGGGGAAAAGACGATCACCTGTTGTCTATAAAATGTGAATAAACTAGAATGTTTTTTTATGTTTATTTGATTTATGTAGATCCTGGTGGCTGACAAAATAACTAGAAAGGGTCATGAGCTAATGAAAGCCTTGAGATAACTACATAAATCTAAAATATGAATCCACGATACTCTCAATTCAGGTTATAAGGGTTGATCTGAGCCAAACTAAACTGAATTTGGGATTACTATATCTCAATGTTGTATGTCAAGTGGACACCAAGTAAAGTTAGAGATTGTCTTGTTTATCTTTCAAGCCGATCCCACACACAAGATTTGCAGAGCTGAGTGCGATTGATCTTAAACATCTTACAATTTACAAAATAACAATATCTAGATGCTACTTAATTAAGCATGAGCCAGGATACTCATAAGCTGACCTTTAAAGTCTTGGATGACACAAGAGTTGCCCAAACTCAAGTGGCTTAGTTCAGTTTACAGTCAAAGTTTAAACAAACATTGAATTCTACAAATAGATTTAGGTTTCTGTGTAAGATGGAAAATCATAATCGCACTAGCTATTCTTAGAAATGAATGCATTTAACTATAATTCACACACACAAAAAAAAAAAAATAATAATA